CTTTCTTTCTTTTTTTTTTTTTTTTTTTGGGTTGAAGTCTCACTCTGCCACCCAGGCTGGAGTGCAATGGCATGCTCATGGCCACCACAGCCTCCACATCCTTCCACCTCAGCCTTCCAAGTAGATGGAACTACAGGCACGCGCTACCACAACCAGCTAATTTTTCGATTTATTGTAGAGATGCGGTCTCGCCAAGTTGCCCAGATTGGTCTCAAACCCGTGGGCTCACCTTGGCCTCCCAAAGTGCTGGGATTATAGGTGTGAGCTACTGTGCCCGGCTCAAGGGCTCTACTTTCATGACCTAATTACCTCCCAAAGGCCCCAACTCCTAATACTATCATATTGGGAGTTAGGATTTCAACATATGAATTTGGGGGGGAAATATTGAGTCCATAACACCTGCTTTCTTGCTATGTTCTTACAAGGTGTTCCTCTGTGCACACACATCCCTGGAGTCTTTTTGTATCCAAATCTCTCTTTCTATAAGAACACCAGTCAGACTGGATTAGGGCCCACCAAAACAGCCTCATTTTAATGTACTCATACCCTTAAAAGCCCTGCCTCCAAATACAGTCATTTTGAGATACTGGGGGTTAGGACTTCAACATGTGAATTGGGTACACAATTCAGTCCACAAAAGATTTCAAACAACAAACTATTACACTGCAATAATAGAACTGCATTCAAATACAATGGGAACCATATAAAGGCATAAATAATTCTGACAGGGAATATCAGAAACTACTATACAAAAGAGGTGTCGGCTGGGCGTGGTGGCTCAGCCTGTAATCTCAGCACTTTGGGAGGCGGAGGTGAGAGGATTGTCTGAGACCAGGGGTTCGAGACCAGCCTGGGCAACTTGGTGAGACTTCGTCTCTACAATAAATCAAAAAATTAACTGGGAGTGGTAGCACATGCCTGTAGTTACAGCTACTCAGAAAGCTGAAGCAGAATGATCATCTGAGCCCAGCACATCGAGGCTTCGGTAGCCGTGGGCGTGCCACTGCACTCCAGCCTGGGCAACAGAGTGAGACTCCAACTGGGGGAAAAAATAAAAAAGAGGTGTCATCTGGGCCCAGTTCTATCTTGAGAATCTCAAGTCTACAAACCATCATTCTTGATTGTTATAAATAATATTTTTAGTATAAAAATGGAGATAAGCTGGGCTCAGTGGCTCAGCCTGTAATCCTGTGCCTTTGGGAGGCTGAGGTGAGTGGATTGACTGAGCCCGCGGGTTCAAGACCTGCCTGGGCAACTTGGTGAGACCTCATCTCTACAATAAATCAAAAAATTAGCCGGGTGTGGTTGCACGCGCCTGTAGTTCCAGCTACTTGGAAGGCTGAGGCGAGAGGATCGCAGGAGCCCAGCAGGTCGAAGCTGCAGTGGCCGCTCCTGGGCGACAGAGCAAGTCTCCAACTCAAAAAAAAAAAAAAAAAAAAAAAAAATCTTGGTTTGGCTGGTCTCGGTGGCTCAGCCTGTAATACCAGCACTTTGGGAGGCCAAGGAGAGTGGATTGCCTGAGTCTGCAGGTTCAAGACCAGCCTGGGCAACTCAGCAAGAACTCGCCTCTACAATAAAATAAAAAATGAGCCAGGTGTGGTAGCATGCGCCGGTAGTTCCAGCTACTTGGAAGGCTGAGGCGGAAGGATTGCCAGAGCCCAGCAGGTCGAGGTTGGGATGGCCATGAGTGTGCCACTGCACTCCAGTCTGGGTGACGGAGTGAGACTCCAACTCAAAAAAAAAAAAATCTTGGTTTATGGAATAATCTCCTCCTTGTGCTCACTCCTTAAGACATGAGAATTTTAATGTGGGGTATGGGGAGAGTGTGAGCTTTCAATAAACCCCTACTGTTTGTCCTCTCTTCAATCTAGAATCCATTCTTTCTTCTCCATCTACCTTGAGCTAAGCATTTCTCCAGGCCAGATTTTAAACCTCCATTCCTTATTCATTAAATACTCTTCTCTTGAAGTAACCTAGGTCTCTGAAATACAAAAGGAGGAGAAATGGAATTGTACTGATCTAGGGTGCAAAATGCTAGGAGAATTTCTGTTAGGCCCTTTACTTTCCAGGGCTGTAAGTGACTGGTTTCCTTCCTACAGGGGTCGCCAGAGGCCACAGGGACCAGGGCCAGGTTTCTGGGAGATGGCTCCAGGAAGGCGGCCAAGAATGTGAGTGCAAAGGTCAGTAACTCGGCATCAATAACATTTGGCACCACTGTGACCCCAGCTCTCTCCCTTGTGCAGTACAGATGTTATCTCAGCTGATCTTACCCATTCCCCACCCCCCGCCATCCCACCACATCCAGTACCAGTAACTGCTTTCTTCCTGAGTCTCAAGCAAGAGCTGAACTCTCCAAGGTTTAAGGGTGAGCTAAGCCAGTCTAAGGCTGTTCCCTTTCCCCCTTGCCCAAAGAACTCAGGGCTACATTCCAAGAGGCTTTTTACTTTTTCCTGGCCTTCTAAAAGCTTCCTGTATTCTATTCTCAGTCTTATTTTACTCACAGGAAAGACTGAAATAGAGGCAAATGGCTTGCCTAAGGTAAAGCAGACACTAAAAGGCAGACACCTAGGTCTTACTCCTCATTCTTTGATCTCCCCAGTGATACTCTGATACCCCCTCCAAAACTGCCACCACATCCTTACCCATATAGGTCAGGAAAAAGATTAGAACTCAGAAATCCTAGTATTCAAATAGCTGGGTATCTCCACTATTCTGTGTTGACTTCTTTCCCCACCCCATGTAGTATGAAAGAAGAGGAAGACACAGAAAATGGCAAGCCCCTGCCCTACTCCCTGCTCTTAACATACTAACTCTCCCATTTAAGCAGCAACACTTATTTCAGATTGGTTCCTGAGAGCCCCTAAAAGAAAACTCATGACAGTGCCCAGGCTGCCAAAGAAGCGGTGTCCCTGTGATCATTTCAAGGACAATGTGAAGAAAACAAGTAAGTTTCAAGCGAACAACTTTCTTTAAACCAGAGTCACTCTGGTTTGAATCACTAGGTATGAAGCAAGCATTGAGATTAGACAAGCAAGGTGAAATGAAGACGAAGATAAGCACACATCTCAGCCCTTTCTACTCAGTGTCAACTTGTGGGGAAATAGAAAGAGCAAGAAAACCAGAATACAATTCTCCTCATACTAGAAAGATTTAACCAAATTCTTAGATTTTAAAACCTCATTGCTTATCAAAGTGGAGATAGATGACGCTATTGGAGACCCGATGGTTGATCTCTGAAGATAACACCAGCGTCAGTGTTAAACAGAACTTGACTCCTTCCTAGTCTAGCAGTTTAGCAGTTTTTTGGGGGGGGGAGTATTCTGTTTTTGTTTTTTGAGACAGGGTCTTGCTATGTTGCCCAGGCTGATCTCAAACTTCGGGGTTCAAGCAATATTCCCACCTCAGCCTCCCAAGTAGCTGGGATTACAGGAACAAGTCACCATGTTTGGTTTAGTCTAACAATTTCTGTCATGTAAAAAGTAAGCTGGCAAATGTCAAACTGATTGGGTATTATTATAATATCAAGAATGGAAGAAATTAGGATCTTTATACACTGTTGACCATGGTAAAAAAAAAAAAACTTGGTAGTACCTATCAGAATTTTAAATGAGTAAAGTTTTGACTCAGTAATCTCACTTTAGGAAACCTCAACTATAGAATACTGGCATGGATGCTCAAAAATACATATGTACAAGCAGCATTTGTGTCAACAAATAAGTGGGGGAAATTGTTCATCAAAGGTGACTTGGGCAAATCTGCAGTTGTCAAAAATAACGAGATAAATCAGGCACAGTATGGTTCATACCTGTAATCCCAGCTACTCAGAAGGCTGAGTTAGGAGGACAACTAGAGACCTGGAGTTTGAGACCAGTATGGACAACTTAGCGAGACCCTACTGATATGGACTTTTCAGATCAGCCTGGGCTTTGAGAGTGTCAGCTCAATGAGTTAGCCAGCTGAGCCCCAAAGAGTGTCAGCTCAATGGGCTGGCAAGCCTAGCTCCAGGAGTGTTAGCTCTAATGGGCTGGCAAGCCAAGCCAGGAGAGTTTTGCAGTCTCCAGAAGTGTCTTAGCTTCAGAGTCTCGTCTTATACCAGCAGCTCTCACAGTTCTGCCAGCTCCATCAGCTGGCAAGCCAGCCTCAGGGGTGCGCAGTTCTACAGTTCCATCGATCTTCTGCATCTCTTCAGGTCTGGGTGCTTGTCTCATGTCCAAGAAAAATGAGGGACATGGATGGCCAGAGAGTGAGTAAGCAGGATTTACTGAGAGAACAAAAAGGTTCCCACAATGGGAGAAGACACCAGGGGGTTGTTGATTTGGAACTAAAACCTGGTCCTTATATAGCCCTAAAATTGAAATGATGGTTGTTTTTCAATCTCAGCAGCAGGAAGTCTTACTTTGTTACTGGGGGACCTGTCCTGTCTGTCTGCTGAGTTGTCTACCATCTGCTGAGACATCTCCCAGTTTGTTACTTTGGAACTGCCCTGTCTGCCTAGTTGTTTTCTAGCTACCTCCTCTCTCACTATCTCTTTTAAAATATACATACTAAAAATAAAAAATTGACTAGGCATGGTGGCATACCCCTGTAGTCCCGGCTACTCAAAAGGCTAAGGTGGGAAGATCCCTTGAAGTCAGGGATTCAAGACCATCCCAGGCAACACAGCAAGACCCTGACTCTAAAACAACTAAGTAATGGCCAGGTTCAGTGGCTCAGCCTGTAATCCCAGCACTTTGGGAGGCTGAGATGAGTGGATTGCCTCAGCCCGCAGGTTCGAGACCCGCTGGGGCAACATGGTGAGACCTCATCTCTATAATAAATCAAAAATTAGCCAGGCGTGGTAGCATGCGCCTGTAGTTCCAGCTACTTGGAAGGCTGAGGCGGAAGGATCGCCGGAGCCCAGCAGGTCGAGGCTGCGGTGGCCGGGAGCGTGCTACTGCACTCCAGTCTAGGCAACAGAGTGAGACTCTAACTTAAAAAAAAATAAATTAAATTAAATAAATAAGTAGTAATAATGAGGTAAATTGTTATGTGTTAACTGGAAATATATAATATATATATAGTGGTAAAAAGGCATGGAGAACCTATTCCAACTTTTTATTGGATGAGAAGGAGTAGGTATTATATCCTTCCTCCTCATCGGATGATGATATGGACGAACAGATGCAAACACAGCAGCCCTACAAGCAATCCTTTATAATCGTATTGGAGATATCGGCTTTATTTTAGCAATAGCATGATTCTTAACTTACTCCAACTCATGAGAGTTTCAACAAATTTTTATTACTACCCCCAACTCCAACACACTTCCCTTATTAGGACTGCTTCTAGCGGCTGCAGGAAAATCCGCACAATTTGGACTCCATCCATGACTTCCCTCCGCCATAGAAGGTCCAACCTTCACATCCTTTGTGAAAATAAGTTTCAAACGGATTACAGATCTAAACATATTTATTTTTATTTATTTATTCTTTATATACTTGAGTTCTTACATCATAGATCAAAATTTAAAAGACAAATTAGGGGCAGCCCCTTTGGGTACCCTCCCACTGTGGGAGCTTTTTTGTTCTCTCAATAAATCCTGCTTTCCCAAAAAAAAAAGACAAATTAATAAGAAAATATAGAGAATGTTTTTATGACATAGAGGTAAGAAAGAATTTATTAAACAAGATTTAAAATGTACAAACTATAAAGTATAAGAGTAAATAAAGCTGACTTCACTGAAGTTAAGAAATTTTGATCATCCAAATTATAAAAATAGGTCAGGCACAGTGGCTCATTCATGTAATCCCAGTACTTTGGGAGGCTGAGATAGGAGGATTGCTTAGGACCAGGAGTTTGAGACTATACTGGGCAATACAGTGAGACCTTGTCTCCACAAAAAATTAAAAAATTAGATGAGCATGGTGTTGCATGCCTGTAGTCCCACCTACTCAAGAGGCTGAGGTGGAAGGATCACTTAAGCCCAGGAGGTAGAGGCTGCGGTGAAACAGCATTGCACCACTGCACTCCGGCCTGGGCAACAAAGTGAGACCCTGTCAGAGAGAGAGAGATAAGAGAGAGAGAGGAGAGAGAAGAGAAGGAGAGAGGGAGAGAGGGAGAGAGAGATAGGAGAGAAAGAGAGGAGAGAGATTTTTTAAATGTTTAAAAGAATAAAATAACAAGCTACAGAATAGGAGATGATATCTGCAACATATATAAGCTACAAAGGATTAGTATGCAGAATATATAAAGAATTCTTACAGATAAGAGAGAGGAAGACAGAAGCAGAACTAACAAATAGACAGAAAGACTTGATTAGCCACTTCACAGATGAGCAACTCCAAATAGCTAACAGATATATGAAATGGCACTGAACCTGGGAAAATGTGAATTAAAACCAAAGTGAGATATAGGTTAGTAAAAATGTTTAAGTCTGTGACAAAAGTCAACACATGTAAAGAGAAAAAAAAATTCTTAAGTCTAGTAAGACCAAACATTGGCAGAGCAGAGAAATACTCATATGCCGCTAATAGGAGTGTAAACTGGTAAATCACCTTGAAAAAGTGCTATTAATTATTTACTAAAGTTTTAAGCTATGTGTACTCTGTGACTAAGCAATTCCACTCTTAAGTGTATACTCAAAAGGAATGCATGCTTATATCAACCAGGAGACATGTACAAGAATTTCATAGCAGCATTGCTCATAATTTCCCCAAACTGAAAACTGACCAAACATCCACCAACAGTACGATCAATAAATTGTGGTAATTATATTATATATCAGGCCGGGCACCGTGGCTCACATCGGTAATCCCAGTACTTTGGGAGGCAGAGGCAAGAGGATTGCCTGAGCCCTGGGGTTCAAAATCAGCCTGGGCAACTTGGTGAGACCTCGTCTCTACAATAAATCAAAAAAATAAGCTGGGCATGGTAGTGCGCACCTGTAGTTCCAGCTCCTTGAGGTGGAAGGATTGCCTGAGCCTAGCAGGTCGATGCTGTGGTGGCCATGAGCATGCCACTGCATTCCAGCCTGTGTGACAGAGTGAGACTCTGACTCAAAAAATAATAATAATTAGCCAGACATGGTGGTGCACGCCTGTAGTTCCAGCTACTTGGAAGGCTGAGACGGAAGGATCATCTGAGCCCAGGAGGTTGAGGCTGTGGTGGCCATAAGCATGCCACTACACTCACTGGGTTAACAGTGAGACTCCAACAAAATAAATAAATAAATAAATAAAAAGGAATATTATATATCAGTGAGCATCAACAAATCTGTTACAAAATATATAAATCTAATAAACAATGAATTTTTAAAAAACGAGAGAATAGCTATAGTATGATTTGATATACTAAATCTGTTTGGAGTGCTACAACAAAAGGAGAGAGAAGAGAGAGGAGAGAGAGACAGAGAGGAGAGAGAGAGATTTTTTAAATGTTTAACCACAGACAGGGTGATTTTAAACAAAAGAAGTTTATTTCTCACAGTTCTAAAGGTTGGGACATACAAGATCAAGGTGCTGGTAAATTCAATGTCCAGTGAGGACCTGTGTCCTCATAGATAGCACTCTATCATTTTATTTTTTTATTTTTTTTATTTTTTTATTTTTTTTGAGTTGGAGTCTCACTCTGTCGCCCAGACTGGAGTGCAGTGGCCGCTCCCGGCCACCGCAGCCTCGACCTGCTGGGCTCCGGCGATCCTTCCGCCTCAGCCTTCCAAGTAGCCAGAATTACAGGCATGCGCTACCACGCCCGGCTGATTTTTTGATTTATTGCAGAGATGAGATCTCGCCAAGTTGCCCAGGCGGGTCTCGAACCTGCGGACTCAGGCAATCCACTCACCTCAGCCTCCCAAAGGCGCGGGATTACAGGCTGAGCCACCGAGCCCAGCTCACTCTATCATTTTAACTTCACATGGCAGAAAGGGTGAACAAACTCCCTCAGGCTCTTTTATAAGGGTACTGATCCCACTCATGAGGGCTTTGCCCCCATGACCTATTCATCTCCTAAAGACCTCACCTCTTGGTACCATCACCTTGGGGGTTAGGATTACAGCATATGAATTTGAGGGATACATAAACGTTCAGATCATAACAAATATATAACATTCAAAGTTAAAATTAAACAATTATTTAGGAATGTATACATAGACGGTAAAACAATTTAAAAAGAAAGTCAATTATTACTATAAAAGTAAGTCCAGATTACCTCTGTGAGGGGGAGAAGTGTAGTAATTAAAAAAGGAGGGCTGCTGCTGACAATATTCTACTTCTAAACATAGGTTGTAATTTCATGAATATCTGCTTTATAACTGTTTATTGAATTGTACATAAAAACTTGTACATAAAAATTGTACATAAAAACTTACGTTTTTATGAATTTCTGTGGGTATATAATATTTCACAATAATAAATGACTTGTTAAAGGTACAGAGCAAGGCAATATGTATGTATAGTATAATCTCATTTTGTTAAAGTAAGCCATAATATTTCTATGCCAGCCGGGCTCAGTGGCTCAGCCTGTAATCCCGCACCTTTGGGAGGCTGAGGTGAGTGGATTGCCTGAGCCCGCGGGTTCGAGACCCACCTGGGCAACTTGGTGAGACCTCATCTCTACAATAAATCAAAAATTAGCGTGGTAGCCCGCGCTTGTAGTTCCAGCTCCTTGGAAGGCTGAGGTGGAAGGACCACTGGAGCCCAGCAGGTTGAGGCTGTGGTGGCTGGGAGCGGCCACTGCACTACAGTCTGGGTGACAGAGTGAGAATCCAATTCAAAAAAAAAAAAAAAAAAGTTGGGCTCGGTGGCTCAGCCTGTAATCCCGTACCTTTGGGAGGCTGAGGTGAGTGGATCGCCTGAGCCCGTGGGTTCGAGAGCCGCCTGGGCAGCGAGACCTCATCTTTACAATAAATAAAAAAAAAATCAGCCGGGCGTGGTAGTGCAAGCCCGTAATTCCGGCTACTTGGAAGGCTGAGGCGGAAGGATCACCGGAGCCCAGCAGGTTGAGGCTGCGGTGGCTGGGAGCGGCCACTGCACTCCAGTCTGGGTGAATGAATGAGACTCCAACTCAAAAAAAAAAAAAAATTAACAGCGGTTAGCTTTGGGAAGTGGGTTACAGACGTTGAGGTGGAAGGAGTTTGTTTACTTTTTACTGGGTTTTTTTTTTTTTATTTTCCACTGGATAAGTCTTTTTATAATTTAAAAGTTCTCATAAAGATTACATTTTTAAAATGTTTTCATCACTGGCCTCTCCCCTTTATTTGCACCCTAGGACACCAAAGGCACCAAAGGCACCACAGGAAGCCAAACGAGCACTCCAGAGCCTGCCAGAAATTTCTCAAGCAATGTCAGCTAGCAAGCTTTGCTCTGCCTTTGTAGGAGCTCTGACAACTCACTCTCCCAATAAAACATTCTCAGTCGAGAAGTCAGTGAGTGCACCTAGAGGATGCTCTTATTCTCCCACCTCATTCTCCCACTCCCAGTACTCATTCCCTAATCATTCCAGTGCTCTCAAAGAGCATTTTCCCCCAAGATCATTTTGATTATTGCTTCCTCTAGATCTTTCTTCTCTTGTCAGCCTTTTCCCGTGCCCTTCCCTTACCCAGGCTTAAGCTTAATTATCTGGAAGAATACAGAAAACCTCAGCTTCCTAGCTGGTCTCCTTTGACCTTAAATACGATCAGCAAAGTAGCAAACAGAAGTCAGTAAACATTTTAAAATGTAATAGATCAAACTGTTTCCTTTTTTTTTTTGAATTGGAGTCTCACTCTGTTACCCAGACTGGAGCCTCGACCTGCTGGGCTCTGGCAATCCTTCTGCCTCAGTCTTCCGTGTAGCTGGAACTACAGGCGCGCGCTACCACGCTTGGCTAATTTTTGATTTATTATAGAGATGAGGTCCACCAAGTTGCCCAGGCAGGTCTCCAACCCGCAGACTCAGACAATCCACTCACCTTGGCCTCCCAAAGCGCTGAGATTACAGGCTGAGCCACCGAGCCCAGCCAAAATTGTTTCTTTCAAATGGAGTCTGCCAACTAACATTCAGTCCAGATGACCCACTTCATCCTGTTCACTCCAAGCCCCACCCAGATTCTACATATATGTCTCCCCACCATGACCCTCACTTTCTTCTCCACTGCCCAATTTGCTAATCTTTTACTCATTCAGCAAATCTCTCTGGGGTAAGAGCTAGGTGGGGCAAAGAAAGGAAGTATAGCAATGAATCAGACAAGGTCTTATTAAAGATAATATCGTTTTAAAAAACTTGGCAGTTTCATGGCACGTAGGCGGCCTTCAGTATCTATTATTATCATCATCATCATCACCATCATCATCGTCGTCGTCATCACCACTGTCATCATCAATGGTCATTGTATTTTGTGAGTTTCCAACTAGTACAGAAGATACACAGGCAGAACCATATAGTTCAGGGCTAGACAAATGGTGTGGAGAATCTCAAAATGCCATTCAGAAGGGCTTCAAGCTCTAAAAACGGGAGGACATCACATTATATTTTAGCACGGGAGTAAAATCATCAGAGTGACGATATAAGAAGATTAAACTGGCAACCATTTGTAGGACAGAATAAAGAGGAAAATAATTATTACAACTATAGAGAATGCCTCTCGCATGACCTTTTCTTCAAACACCAGGAGACAAAAAAAGAAACGTTCATCTAGAATCTGACTTCTGTCAATCCAGATGAAAAATCTGACTTCTGTCAACTCAGATGAACCAGAGGACTACACTGGGATGCCTACCTTATGAAAAGAAATATTTTAACTGAGTAGTGAGTGGGGTGGGGTCCTATTTATGACATAAGAGAGCGAGCCCCTCCCCTCTTGTAAGAGGGTGCTAGGCACACAGCAGCCTCCCATTCCTGATCCCGCCCCCTCCCCAAGGTAGGGGGCACAGAGTGTATTACTTGGCACAGGGGTAGGGGCCAGCAGTGATCAGCCCACTGCCAAATGCCTTAAAAAGGAAGACCAGGCCAAGATGGAAGAGTAGAACGCAAAGAAGGTGCCATCATGAGGAATCAGTAAGAGATCTGTGAAGAGGGAGGCCTGGGGGGACGCCAAGAAGGATGAAGTCTGGGAGACCAACATCCCCCATGACAGAAGTAACAGTGGAGCCAGATTCTAAATCAGTATCTGGGCCGGATTGGAAACCTGAGCTACACAAGAAGCCTATAACCCAGGCAGAGCCTGAGCCAGAAAAGACACCCACAGCCCAGCCAGAATGGGAGACTCAGCAGGGACCCAACACCCAGCAGAAGCTTGCATCACAGCAAAGACCCCTCACCCAGCAGGAACCCCTTGCCCAACATGAAGCTGACTCTCAGCAGGAACCTAGAGCCCAACATGAATCTGCTTCACAGCAGGAATCTCTTGCCCCACAGGAGCCTGCCCCACAACAATCACCTCACATCAAAAGGGTGTTCACTCTGCAGGAAACTGCCTCCCAGAAGGCACCTGGGCTAGGAAAAGATTCTACAACTCAACAGGAACCAGAATTGGGAGAGAGACGTGTAGCCCAGCCAGGACTGGGGCCAGGAGAGCCACCTCAAGCTCAACAAGAAGCTGAACCAACCCCTACAGCCCAGGTTAAACCAGGACCCCAAAAGGGGCCAACCGCTCAGGCTGAATCTACATCTCAAGAAACACCTGAACAGGCAGACCCTGTACCTACAGCCCACCAAACAACTCCAGTCCAGGGAGCCAAATCCAAGCAGGGATCTTTGACTGACCGGGGTTTTCTAACAAAACTGCAGGAACTATCCATACAGCGGTCGGCCCTAGAGTGGAAGACACTTTTTGAATGGGTCACAGATTCTGACTCAGAATCAGATGTGGGGTCTTCAGAGACAGACTCTCCAGCCATGGAAAGTGGAACAGTCGCTCAGGGAGTAAGGCAAGCCTTCAGAAGAAAATCTGATAACGAAGTGATGCCAGAATATAGTGGAACATCACCACACAGGAAGAAAACCAGCACCAAGAATCACAGACACTACAAGAACACAGGTGAGTTTGAACCTGGAGGAACTGGAGCCTCCCGGGGAACAGTTAGTTATTCATCCATTTAAGAAATATTACAAAGTTATCATTTTTCAGGTTAGCTCCAGTCAACCTTCAACAATCCTATGAAATAAAGATTAACATCCCCATTTTATAGACAAGGACACTGAGGCAGGAAGATAAAGAAGTAAAGGATCTTGCACAGGGCTGTGCGGTTAGAAGTGGCAGAGCCAGTATTTAAAGCCAGGGTCTCACTCTCTGCCCTGCACCAGGCTGTCTCCCCACCAAGGATCTGGGGAAGACCAGATACAGGTGGGAAAGCGCTCTGGGATAGAGACTGGGAGACCAGGAAAGTTGCCCTCCTCTCAGTATTCATTCATCTGCTCCCCCAAAACTGACTGGGCACCAGCTCTGGGGCAGATACGGGCCTACGCAACAGTGATACAATGCAGAATGGGGACCTTACCCTTCTGGAATTTCCATGCAGACTAGACAGAAAATCGGGGCGGTCAAAATCACTGAGTTTAGCAGGTCTATCCTCTGCTGCCAGGAAGACACTTGCTCCTCTGCCAGGCCCCCTCCATGGAGGACATTCAGTCCAACCAGGCAGAATGGCCTTGCAGGTTGTGTTCTCTCAGGAAGGAGGAGCCTGGGAGAGAGGCTGTGGGGGGGGGGGGGGCGGGAGAGCACACCAAGGTCCCAGGCAAGGTCAGGGATGATGGGAGGAAAGCTGGAAGAGCAGTATCATTAGACAGTGACAGGCCCAAGACTCCCGGATCACCACCAGTGTGCTCCCTCATCCTCTCTGGCTCTTCCTGGGGTGCCTCCGAAGAAGGCCAGGGTGCCAAGGGGTGCAGGCTCCAGTTCTGTGGTGCTCAGGTCCTCCTCCTCTCATCCTCCAGCCTCAACACTCCTGCCATGTTGGTATGGGGAATACGAGTTTTACCCATAGGCATTGAGGGTTACCCGTTGAAGTGGCCTGAGGAGGGGGAACAGGCAGCCCTCATACTGAAGCAGGGTCCAGAGAGTGGGCCATGGTGGTCTCTCCACCTAGAGGCCTGTCCTTCCTGGAAGGGCTGGACTGTCTCACTGGAGCTCAGGAGAAGAGGGTGTTGAGTCTCCCGGTGTTGGGACGGGTTGGATACTTCAAGGGAGAAGAAGAGGGACGACGGGCCAAAACAGGGTTTGAGGCCTGTGTTTTCCAGCGCTGAGAATGAAGAGCCGTTTCTCTGGGCCTCCAGAGCACAGTCTCGAGGGGCGCCAGCGCCACACCGTCGCAGCCGGCGAGGCCACCCCTCTCGGGCGCCTTGGCGGCCATTGGCTGTGTGCGCACGCGCGAGCCTTGAGCCTCTCTGTTTCCCGCTTTTTCCCAGGCACGCGTGGTTCCCTCAATTCTGCTTTCTGCAGGCCGGCCTGCGACCTGGAGCCAGTGCGCAGGCGCCGAGTATTCTCCCTCTTTCCTCCCTCCTCCCTCCAATTCTGGGGGACAGGGAAAGGGCAGAGGGAGAGAACCCCAAGAAGCGAGCAACAGAACTAAGAGACAGAAGGGGGTGGGGGGAAGGCGGGGCTTCCTCCTCCAACGGCTCTCAGGCACCGCCAAGCCCCCAGTGCTGGCGCCCCGCCCCGGCTTTGAGTAGCCCGAGGACCTGGCCCGCCCCCTGCCCCCAGGCGGCGGCTCAGCGGCCTCCCGCTTTTCCCCTCCCGCGGGCGGGCCGGGGCGCGTTCAAGGGGATCCCTGCGTGAGAAGGTAAGTGGGATGGCGAGGCTGTGCATCAGCACGTGAGGAGAACTGGACTTCCCTGTTGGGATGGTCTGCGCAGGGCTCCGCACTAGTCCTGCCCTAAGGACGTTTTTCGGTGCATTTTTGTTGGCCGCGGACCCTTTAACTCCTGCGAGGGGGCGGGGCCGTGCCTTAAGTCTTAGCGGCTGGAGGGCGGAGTCCGGCGGTGGAGTGAGTCCAGGATCACTCAGAGGGCGGGACCTAGAGAGGAGCAAGCCCGGGGTTGGGTGATGTGGGGCCCGCGGTAGTGTGTAGCAAAGATTGGCCCTCCGGGCGGGGCCTGACGGCTGGAATCGGTCCCCGCGCGGGGTCCGCGGAGAATTGATGGAGTCAGCCGGGGGAATGGAGCCTGCCGGGGCCGCTGCGGCCTCGGCCTCGGCCTCGAAGAAGGCCAAAGAGGGGTCGAAGAGCCGCAGTCGCCGGCGGTGGCGAAAAGGCAAGGCCAAAGGTGAGCGCACGGGGTCGGCAGCAGCCCGGAAGGAACCTTGTACGTCCTGCGGGGAAGTGGGGACAGAGTGGACTGACCCACGGCGACAAGAGGTAGGGAAGACCGTGGCTTAGCCCACTGCCGCTCTGTGGGGGGGAAAGGGATGATCCGTTGTGAAAAGAGGGTGATGTGAGAGCGGAATGTCCCACCTGGGCATAGGGACTACCGGACGCGTGGGAGCACAGTCCGGAGTGCGAGTCCCGTGGACTCGGGTTTCTGCTCGGGTTCTGTATTCGCTGTGTGACCAAGGGCAACTGCTACCCTCAGTGTTTCCCACCTGGGAAACGGTTCAAGCGCCGATTTTCATGTCTCCAGCGCTCTTGGGAGGATAATGGGAAGGAGCTTAGCAGCTGTTACCCAAAGAGGAAGTTTAGGGGTGAGTTAGAGAAAGGTAGGAGGAAGGAGTGTCCATAATGGGGAATGGAGCTGGACCAGTATAGCTCATCGCAGTCCTGTCCTCCCACCAGGCCATCATTCCATGCATCCATCTAGTCATTGTCCGTCCACCTGCTTCAGTTGGATCCATGGGGGCCTAGCTTCCTGGCCCCTACCCCTTCAGGACAAGAGGTCCCTGACTTGGCTTCAGACCCTCCTCAGGAGAAGAAGGGAAGGCTATTGCCTGATCTCCCTAGGGTGTCACATTATTTTCAGATCTCGGAAGAAAGACTGACTGACTAACAAGGATACTGCAAATCTCAGGCGTGAGCAGATCCTTGCTCATTTATGAGTATTTATCAATCTGGGTGAGGATCTGTGGGAAGTTTCTCCTGTGGCAGGAGAAAAAACTGACATGGCCCCTGAGCCCCAGAGACCTCAAACTCATCGTTCCTCCTGCCACAGAATGCATCATTAGCCAAGGGTAGATCTGGAGTTGGCTTCAGACCCACACATGCAGGTTCAGACAGACCCAGAGCTCAGACTGGAGCCCAAGGGCACTTGCTGTCACACAGCAAGACTTTGAACTCACAAGCAGGATGGCATACCCAGAGGCAGTACAGACCATGGTTAAGAACGTCGGTGGTGGAGACCTCGTTCCTCAAGCTATGAACTGTGATGTGCTGGGCAACAGGCTCCCGTTTTCCCTTCCTCAATTTTCTGAGCCCTAGCATGGGTATTATGATGGGAGTCCCTTACTTGTAGGGCTGTTGTGAGGTTTGAATGAGTATAGAGCATGTGGTGCAGGTACACAGCAGGCCCTCAGGAGAGGTTATTACTATTGTTAGTCCCCACTAGACAATGAGCTTTCTAATAACAGGGCTGTATCTGCTTTGTTTATCCTATATTTCCAAAGTCTGCTATGCCAGACACATAGACACTCAAATATTTATTGAGTTAGTAAGTGAAGGAATGTATGAAATATAACACAGACCTATTAATAATCATGCTTCCCGTATGGTTGTCATGAGGTGTCAGAATCCACTTGGGTAGGGCTTCCTACACAGGACTCAGCCAGTCCTACTCACAAACCTGTGGACCAGCCTACTCACAAAGGCTCATTCCCCCAAACTCTGAGATTTGCCTGTCATTTCCTGAAGCTCACCCTGTTGCCAGGCCCCACAGGGATGAATCAGACCTCTCCGCTGCCCCAAGGTCATCTGGGCCAGCTAGAGCAGTCCTCGTCATCAGTTTTATCTTGCCATTAACTGGATGAGGCTAGTATCATTATGATCACACCATTTCCCAGATGACAACACCAGGAATCTGAGGGACCAAGGCCACCTGGTGTTCCTTACCTGGCCAGTGATGGTAGAAATAGATGTCCCTAACCTACTCAGGGCAGGGATTGTGTGAGTTTACAACTGCTGTGGGTCCAACCTTGATGTGGGGCCCAAAAGGTTCCGGTCACACAGATTCATTTAGCAGACATTCACTGCACACCTACTTGTACCAGGCTTGGGCTCTTGGTGGCAAGCAGGACAGACTCATAGTTGAACTGGGGACACAGATTAAGAATATAATTGTAAACTTTGATAAATACAACAGAAAAAAAAAACCCTGAGAAAATGGAAGAGGCAGGCTTCCCAAGGAGGTGACACTGGACCCAAGGATGGGCAGGCATTAACTGCTGGGCAAGGGTCAAGGGAGGGCAGAGAGGACAGCATGTATAAAAACTGAGGCCCAAGCCGGGTTTGGTGACTCAGCCATAATCCCGTGCCTTTGGGAGGCTGAGGTGAGTGAATTGTCTGAGCCCGCGGGTTCAAGAC